GCATGCTGTTACTTTCATTCTTCCTAAGCGACCCATAGCAACCTCACACTGTCCCTCATTAATGTCTCCTCTTATCCCTCATGCTAGTCTCTACCTCCAGTCTTGCATCCTTAGTCTAGTTGCCCAACCTCCAAGCCTTGGGGTTAACAACTACACCTAGGTCAGATAGCACAATCAACATATGTAAAGCCCATCTTGGGAAGCTCTTCTAGGACAAAGACCTCATCCTGCTATGAGATCTACTCAGGATAACAGAAACAAAGGAAGAGACAGTTTATTTCAAGTAGCAATATCAAAGAAGAAGCTTTACATACTAAGGGGAGCCCATAAGATTCACAGCAGATCTATTAAATGAGACTAAGTCAGAAAAAAATGAAGGAATATAGTATAAGAATAGAATGAAATGAAAGTCGCCAGGGATACCCTATCATAGTAGATTATCATTCCAGTTTGAAGGAATGCTACAAGGACAGGCAACAGCCTAGTGAATTCATAGCCTTGAAACCAATTTTGCAAGAAGCTGTAAAGGAGACTTTTTTCTTTTTAAAGAAAGGACAAACTTGGCAGCATTTGACATTGACTATGGCACTCACTCATGGCACTTAAAGTTGCCCGCTTAAGAAAGGTATGTGTGCTCCTAGCTTATTTAGTGATTTTATACATTTTCAATAACAAATCAATGTCTCATTTATATTGAATCCTCTCTGTCTGAATGTTTTATTTATATCCATAGGTATTCTATTATAATATTTTATTTATTGATGCAAAAAATTTGCAGTTTCATAACAATAAATTATATTTTTTTCTCACACACTTCAGACAATCTTTCAAGAAATGTGACTCCATCTCTAAAACATACAAGAATCTATTGTACTTACCACCTCCCTGCTACCACACCTTACATCATTAGTTATGTTATGTCCCCAAGAAGTGCTGATTTCCAGAGAGAGAAATTCCCCAAATAAAGCACTGTTTGTCCAAGAGTAAATCAGTCATTTTCTAAGCCATGTGAGTCAATTTTATAAACTATCCGAAAAATTCAAAAGGTATTGTGATTGAACAGAACATTATTTCTTTGATATATAATTACTGTGAAGCTATTTCTAACATCCTCTTGCTCATATAACACAATGTCTTTTATTTAAGATGTTTTGAGTATTTTTTGTTTCCCAGTTTTCCAGTCTTAATTTTATACATGATAATGCTTAAAATAATTTATTTCTCTGATGTATGTTTAATTCTTTATGCTACCTGAAATGGGTTGATGCTTTACATATTTGTTTTTTTCCACTGCTGCAGAAAAGCTCTACATTAGTTTAATAGAACTACCATAGCAAAAGTCCACAGGATGTGTAGCTTAAGAGATAAAAATAAATTTTTTTTTACAATTTTGACAGCTAAAAGCTCAAGATCAAGATGTTCATATGGTTGGTTTGTTCTGGATGTCTGAATAAACCTTTTATATCTCTTGTACATTGTCATTGTTTCTGTGTCTTCACATGGTCTATGTCTGCTTGAACATGAATCTTATTTTCTTTAAAGGAAACATGTTGCCTTGGGTTAGGTCCCATTCATATAAATTTGTTTTACATTGATTACCTTTTTGAAAGTCCCTACCTCCAAGTACAATCACTTTTGCAGTTTCTTAGAGTTAAAACTTCAATGTATAAGTTTGAAAAGAAACACAACTCACGCCATAATAGTCTTACTTTGGCAATAAGCATATAATCTTGCTTCCTAAGTAACTAGCAAAACTGACAAAGAGTGAATCTGAGCCACTATATTTCATATCACGATTCCAAATTAATGGATTTCACTGTCTACCACAATATCCATTGCTTTTAGCTACCCCTTGAGTTTAGGGTTTACACTAATCTGTCAGGCAAATAAGTACAGTGCATATACTTGTATTTCCCTTTTACTCAACAAACTAAAAAGCAATGAAAACCAGATTAAAAATTTACATTGTCTATAACTAATATGTTGAGCCAAAGAGATAATACAGCAGGTAATATGCTTGCCTTGCAAATAGTTGACATAGGCTAAATCCCAGGCACCCCATATGGTCCTCTGAACACTGCTAGGAATGACCCCTGAGTGCAGAGTCAGGAATAAGCCCTAAGTAATGTCAGGTGTGACCCCCTAAACAAATGAAATCTCAAAACTAGACAAGAAGAAACATCTTTCAAGTGGTAGTGAAAGTAAAATGTACTTTGTCCTTGCAAAAACTGAGTATTACATTCTGCATTCATTTTAATAGTTGATATCATTTTTGTGCACAAAATAACTCAGTAAATTACATTAAAGAAAAGAGATTTTGGATTTGTTAAAGAAATTTTTTGTTGTTAAGTAAAAATCTAGAAGAGTTTACTCAACAGATTAAAATACAGTGAAAAACAGATTAAAAAGTTGCATTGACAATAAGCAATATCTTTTTCAAATGGTAGTGAAAATAAAACGTACTTTGTTCTTAAAAACACCGACTTATGTTCTGCTTCTACACTGATCATACATATCAATTTTGTACACAGTAAATCACATAAAATCAAAAGGTTTTCAAATAGTCAAAAAATTCATCTGTTGTTAAGCAAAAATCTAAAAGGGCTTTGTAGTAGGGGACAATAGGCTAAATCAAAGAAGAAAATGATTATGATTTCTGAAACCACTAATTGAAGCTTTAAGCAGTTGGTAGTGTTTTGGTGATTGCGGGCTGAAGTTTTCTCTGTTCCTTATTTTTCTTTGTCAGTGGTGTTCACCATGGAAACTTCAATAAAACTCCCTCACAAATGTTTTTCTTCTGAAGTGCAAAGCACCTTCTTAAAGAAGCCAGCTGACAACTGATAGAAGTGGGTGTTTGGAAAAGAAATGAAAAGCTTTCTTCTTTCTTCTCCATCTCTGTGGGTGGCAGGAGGTGAGGGAATTCTCTAGGGCATTAAGTTGGGCAAAGAAAATATTTTATCTTGTTTTGGGATAAAAATCTGATTTTCAGATAGAGAATTAGTTTAAAATATAATGGGGAAACTTTTTCCTTTAATAACATTTTCTTATTTCTAGAATTTGAACAAAGTTTGCCTAATACAAAATCATGTCACTTCAGAATATGGTTTTGCATAGGACAATTTTTGTTATCACTTGATTGAGCAAATACTACTGGGGCCCAAATAAAATTTTCTTGGGAATATATTGAAAAACTTAATTAATGTTGGACTTTGAGTGTATCAAAAAATTCCTCTCAGATCTCTATTCATCCTACAAAATATGGAAATATAATCAAACATTATCTTGAGAAACCTATCAGAATCATCAAGGATAATTTAAAAATGTCAATGCCAGTGCCCTATTCTAAGATGTAAATTAATTAGTTAATAGCTGCTTATATAATTTTAAGCACCCAATGCAATTTTATAAACAAAATTGAGAATCACTTATTTATTGACCTTAAAGAGCTTTTCCAAATCTATCATTCTAAGGTACAAATTGACCTCAACAACACTTGACTCTGAGAGGAATGCCAACTATCTACTTTCAAATTTGTTACATATTTTGTTTTTGGTATGAGATCCAAGAATTTAGCTTTTAAGAATCTTTATACTTGCTTATTCACTCATTATTCAGAATAAGCACAAAAGTCATGTTAGTGTTCAGTCTAGAATTAATGTTTCCATTTCTAAAACCTCTTGGTTTCTAAGAGTTTTGTTTCCTAACAATAGGCCAAAAGGCATTAATTAAATTTTAATATTATGTACATTTTTATAAATTCAGAATTGGTAAAGTCAAAGTAAACACCAAGGGTTGCAAGTGACTAAAGCTTTGTTACCAAAGTACATCATTTTTTCTTTTTAGATCATTGAACTCAATGATGATTGATTAGAATTGCCTACGAAGATTTCATAAAATTCTCAGGCTTGTATTATATCTTAAATGGGACCAAAATTTCTGAATCAGCAAATCGCATTTTAAAGTTTTCCAGATTGTGCCAAAATAGAGCCATATTTGAGAATCACTCGCAGTAAAATGAATTGTTTGGACAAATTGTATGGAGCAACTGGCCAGTGATGAAATGTTCAGAGTATGTTAGCTATCTCCTTGATTGGAAACAGCACTCTCCTTCCCCCTGAGAATAACATTGTCATGGAACATTCCTCTTTTGCTAAAATTACCTTTATCAGGCAGTCTGTTCTTTCTCATGTTCTGCATTATTACACTAAATATATTGTACAGAAAATGACAAAAGAAACATTTTCTCTTAAGTTGTGAATAAAATCTAGGTCAATCTTCTTACAGAGCTCTTTCAAGATGATTGAAATAGTGGGTAAAAGGAAAAAACAGAAATGTTTTAGGAAATGTGTTTGTTGGGTCAAATTACAACTCTAAGAACACTCAATAATTTATGCCTTTTAAGAGTCTAGTTTATCGTTTCCTGTTAAATAAAAACACATTTCAGCATTATTCCTCTCCACATAAGAGTAGATCATGGTATTTGCTGAAAACATATATCCCAGAGTTTCAATACTGTAGTATCAAATCTGTTTTTAATTGTCATTCTGGAGCTTAGTGCTGGTATTTCCCCAAAGCCTATAAATCATTATCAAACAAGAAAATCAAGTAATTAAGGACTCTGGCCTGAATCTGATCTATACTCTCTGCTTTCAGCATAAAAAGGTATTCACTCTTATGGCTAGTTAAACTCTTTAATAATGAAACTGGATCATGAAAATGATTTTCTAATGCTTTAAAAAAAATAAGTACTAAGGCAGCTGATTTCCTCCCAATCAAACGTGACAGATTCACCACTGTTTTTAGTGGTCTGTGCAGAAAGCCAAAGCTGACACATACAGAAAAGAATGATGCAAGAATTAATAGTATTTAATTTCTAAAAAAGTTCCTTTATCATATTATAGCTGAACCCTTCCTGAGGTGACTCTGAGGTATGCTGTAAATTCAACCATTTGTGATTAGTTGACTCATCCTTAAATACAACACAAAGCAAGTAATTCTGTAGAATGAAATAACAACTTTAATATTCACTGACTTGAGAAAGAACTTAAATTTTTATTCTGGAAAGAAATAAAAATTCAGTCTGGGATCTCAATTAGCACCATCTGAATACAGAAAGAGTTCAATATACATGCACAAATTAGTTTTAATAACATACATAAGTAAAATATATGTTTTCCTTGCATACACATGTTTTAAAGGGCACTTCTTGGAATTTCATTTTTATTAGCTGACTGGGCATGATACAGGTTGAACACCCCTTAGCTCCAGGGCTTTAGCAAAATTCACCTCCATTGGCTTGCCTGTGCCCTTGGTGAGCCTCAGAGACCGGATGCAACCACGGAACGGAACATTGGTGGTCAGACCAAACTGTTTGAGACCATCTGAAAAGCAGAAGAAAGAGGACTCAGCTGGGATGTTAAAGAGCATATTTCAAATCAGCTGTTAGCCTGAGATTAAAGTGGAAGGGTGCTTGATATAAAGTTGATGATTTTGTTTTTAGAATTACTAAAAGTTAAATTTACAGAGGGCTAACAAGAAAAATTCTGTTAGGGACTATAAATACATCCAGATTTGCTGACTTTAAAGTATCAAAATAATGAACACAGTTGTGACAAAATTATTTCATGTTTGTAATAAAGCAACTGAGCAGTTACTTTAAGTACTTAGGATATTTCATTTTAATAGTGATGACATCTCTTCTTTATACAAATAAATCAAAAAAAGGTTAAGTTAGTTGGTCTTTATCTTATTTAAGAGATGTTGCCTTTCAAAAGCAGTCCATGTGCTGCCTAAGCTCCCATTTCATCAGCTGAGTGAAAAAGTACATTATCTTCATTGTATCTGGAAGCCTGTCCTGATCGAAACTGAAGTAGGTTTGCTAAAAAAAAAATCCAGAGGAGTGATAGTAAGCAGGTAGGGCATTTGTCTTGTATGCAGCCAACCTGGGTTCAATCCTTGGCATCCCATATGGTCCCCTGAGCACCACCAGGAGTAATTCCTGAGTGCAGAGCCAGGACTTAACCCCTGATTATCGTCGGGTATGACCCAAAAAAAAGAAAAAAAAAGAGAAAAATCCAGAAACAACTTAGGAAAAGGGGATTGCAATTTGCCCTCTATTGTTTCTATATCTTTACCCTTATCAGCTACCGCTAAATATACATTAGACTTATTTTTTTAAAAAAAAATAAAGGATTTTTATATTTGGGATAAAAGTTATCGTGCAAAAACTGACTGAAAGTTCCAGGTGTTTTTTCTTGAAATATTATGTACTTAGTATCCCCCATCAAAAGCTGGGCACTTTTGGTTATGGGCACTTTAAATAACTCTGTGGTTTTCATGCAATGTTTAATGTGTTAGGGATTTTCGATTAAGATTTATTGCCTTTGCTTCTTTGAAATATTTTTATATACGCATTTATAAATGTTTATATATATAACCTCTATACTAACATGGGGATTAATTAACTATGTTTAACTCAATGATTTCCAGAACTTAAATAAGTTTCCATAGTATTTTATGATTCTCTTGATATATTTACTTAAAAAAATTGAAGTAACAACCCTAGCCTTGTTTGCTGTTAAGTGCCTCACATCTTTTATAAGTCAATTTCATTTCCTCTAGCCTCCATCTCCCAATGAATTAAACTTTGTGGGCTATCATGAAAATTTTATTCCTGTATGTTTTCTATAAATAATACACTCATTTTACACACTGGGGGAATTTCACGTAAGGTGGTATTTATGGGAGTAGAGTCTAAGGTTAGTGAGTAAACTTAAAAGTACACATTCTTCAACATATTTATAGAAATATAAATGTTTTCCGAACCACTAACATAATGGAGCAAAGAAATTCTTGCTGGTGTAGCCAAGTCTCACCTGGGAACCCGCCAACAAACACGGGGTCATTTGTATCAGCTGATGTCGATGCTAGGTTTGGACTCTTGGCTTCCACCTGGTTCCCATCTACTGTCAGTTTAATGTGATGTTTGATCTTGCTGGCTGTGACTTTATGCCATTGTCCGTCACACAAATGCCCTGGGATTCCAGCATCATAAACAGCAGTGAATCGGCCTGCACCATTGTCCACATGAACCATGAGCTAGAAGGCAGGAAATTGAGTAGTCACATATGATTTCATCAGAAAGGTATTCACATCGTATAAACTCTCAGATCTCTAATAAAAATATCAACTGTTCTAGTGTGAAATAAAAATGAATAAAGTATATCACGTTTTTACTTTTAAACTTGATAGCTGAAATGTAGAACTAAGTGACCAGGGTTTACAAATTGTATTCTTGCTTTTGGACATTGTTGAGCCCAGTAGATAAGATCTGAGAGTGTCTTAAAAATTCTGCTTTCCAAAAATGTAATAAGTCATTTGAGGATCCTTATCAAAAATTAAGATCAATTGTATACATAAAAAATTCCACTACAGACCTATTTAGAATATGAGGATTCTTACCAAACTTATTAAAATTTTCTTAAAAGATGTGACTGGGACTGATTACTTTATTTGCATTACAAATCATTTAAAAAATCTTTAGAACTTTTTAATGTAAGCTTTGATGTTTTAATTGTATTTTTCCTTCATGGATATAATTTTATATATAGGACTGAGAGTTACATAAATTACATTTTTCTCAGCATGCTTTATGTCACAGGTGCCAAAGACTTTGAGCCAGAAGGCCAGTTAAATTTTTAGCAATGAAAAACTTAAATGGGAAGTTCTTGTCACTATGAGAAAAATCTGTTTTCAGTTACATGGAATAGTTTCTGAAATTTGAGATGACAAAATTCTTCTGAAGCTGATGAAGAAAAACATATTGAAACACTAAAACATCAGTCAATCTGGCAATGCATTTGACAAGGTAAAAGAAAAAAACAGAAATTAAAAAAAAACTAAATGTGTTAGTAAATAGGTGAAAATCTTGTAAGCATTACAGAGATAAGAATTTTTGTTGAGATTTTGCCCCATGTGGAATTTGCAATACACAATTTTTCATATAAACCAGTGGGGTGAGAAAGCACACAGCTTGTAATGGAACATGATACACTGGCAAATTGATAGTAACCGTGGTATTATAAGTAGGTGATGAAATAAAGGGCTTTTTTCAAGATGAAGTAAAAGTGTATTTCGAAAATCTGGAAAAATATTAAGTGTTCCTTATTTCTTTCTCATTTTTGCTTCTGTGCCCTAAAACTTTTAATTTTCTTTGATGAGGTTTTAAAGAGCAGGAAGAAAGACAAAAACACATTTAAAAAAAAAAAGAATACCTCCCAAGAGGAAACTACACAGCATTACTTTTTAGGAGGCAGCAACAACTTATGAGTAAAAATACAGGCAGAACTAGAATATGGTTCATATTTAATAACCAAGTAGGAAATATGAAATTTCTTGCTTTGTCTTCTTCTTTTATCTACTCCCAATAACACAAAGTTTATAAAAGACGCTGTCCACTGTAGGTTGCTGCTCACAGATTAGCAGGAACTAAAGAGGTTTCAAAATTAGAATCTACCTTACATGTTAATTGACAAAAGATGATATTCTGCAATGAATGTTTATTGTAAAGATGTTCCTTCAAAATCTCATTTATTTATATGTTGGTGTTTGGGGACCATATCAAAGGTACTTAGGAGCTACTCCTGGTTCTGTGCTAGGGGGGTAGTGGGGTTTGCTGTCAATGGTTGCTCTCAATGGGAGATCGTGTGGTGCCAGGAACTGAACTAGGGTTGGATGCATGGTCACTGTCACTGTCACTATCCTCCCTTTGTTCATCGATTGGCTCGAGTGGGCACCAGTAATATCTCCATTGTGAGACTTGCTGTTATGGTTTTTGGCATATTGAATACATAATGGGAAGCTTGCCAGGCTTTACCATGCAGGCGAAATACTCTCGGTAGCTTGCTGAGCTCTCCGAAAGGGGGCGGAGGAATCAAACCTGGATCGGCCACGTGCAAGGCAAACGCCCTACCCGTTATGCTATTGTTCCAGATGCATGGTAGGCAAATAAATGCTTCACTCCTTTACTCTCTGGCTTGAATTCATTATTTTTTTTTTTGAAATGGCACATAGATACTTTTACACTTCTATTGAGGGGGCTGATGTGATAGTGCAGTTGTTAAGGTGTTGATCTTGCACACAGCTGACCCCTGTTTGATCCCCAGGTTGGATCCTGAGCAGCCAATATGGTCTCCAGAGATGAGATAGCCAGGAATGATTTCTGAGCATAAAGCCAGAATTAAGCCCTGGGCACCACCAGGTGTAGCACCAAAATAAAATAAAGCAAAACAAATTACAGTCGAGAAACTAATGTGTTCACTTGCTTCTGAATTATTCTTTTTCTATTGTGTGGCAAAGACTGATTTTAGACAATCCAAGCCAACACACCTCTCCTCCACTCCTTCCCCAACCCGAATCAGTAGTTTTAAAGACTGTGTATTCATAAAGAAGAGAATAAGAGAATTGGCAACATCCAAAAAGAAAATGAAATGATACAGTCTAACTTTATTGTAACAAAGAATATAGTAAGGTTTTAAAATGGAATTTCTACACATGAGCAAAAAAATCCTGAGAGAACAGAAATATATTGGTAGCTTGCTCACCTTTTCATCAATCATTTCAATACCCATTCCATCCATTTTTTGGCTGCTGATTCCCAGAAGAACTCCAGTGGTTCTAGTCGTACGGAATTCAAATTCTACAAGAAGTTCCAATCCTACTTTGAACCCACCAACTGTAAAATAAATATTTTTTTTTAAATTGTGGACAAGGGTTTAAGGACTGCTAATAAAAATTGATATAAAGCAATGCCTTTACTAGATTTCAATTATCGCACCTATAAGTTCCAGTCTCTTAGGTAACCTATACAGCTGCCATTGTATTACATAAGTCTATACTTTTTGCTTATTTTTTGTCTTTTTTTCCTAAAATGTGAATTCATGAGAGTATCAACTTACTTGTTTTATAATTTAAAAAAAATAATGTTTATTTTGGGTATTGTTGTTGACAATACTGTTAATTCAACATTTTATCTTGTGCCTACCAAAGTATCTGATGTATAGTATCACTGTATCACTGTCATCCCATTGTTCATCAATTTACTCGAGTGGGAGCCAGTAATGTCTCGATTTGTCCCACCCCTGAGATTTTAGCTCCTCTCTTTACTCGTCTTTCCCAATGATTGGAGGCTCTTTCAGAGTTAGGGGAATGAGACCTGTTACAGTTACGGTATGTTTGGCATACCGACATGCCATGAGGAGCTTGCCAGGCTCTGCCTGTGTGGGTGGGATACTCTCGGTAGCTTGCTGGGCTCTCTGAGAGGTGTATATGTGTATATATATATATATATATGTATATATATATATATATATAATTTGTTGACTACTGTCTGAACCCCATCAAACATGTTGTGGTAAAGATGGAAAATGGGTAGGAAGTGTCTTATGAAACCCAGCCTCGTGGTCCGGAAAGCGGCCTGGAGCATGGCCGTGGGTGGGTAGTGGAGGTTGGCTGCTGGGGCTGGGTCCCTTGGGGAGGGGAGGTGCCACGAGTGAAAACAGACTCACATGGAGTCCGGCAGCAAGGTTATGGGAGCCTCATTTTATGTTCCCTTCCGAGAGAAGCAGCCTTGAGTTCTGGAGGGTGGTCGATGAGAAGATAATCTGGTGCCGGCAGGGAGTAGCTCATGTGTGTGACCCCTGGGTCACCGGAAACTGGGGGAAGCAGGCAAAGGACCTCTGCTCCTGGGTCCCGTTGGACCCAGAGTCCAAGGTCACAAACTATAATGATGTATAGTAAAGGGGTTTAATACGCATATTTTTAAATATATGGATAAGAGAATACTCTTAAGATTTATTCAGAGAACTTCATAACTAGGTATGACAATGGTAGAAATCCTATTGTTTGGTTAAGGTGAGTATTTCAGTGATGCTTCAGCAAAATTTTACTTAGAGGGCTCAAAGTTATTAAATATATCATTATTATTATTATTATTATTTTGCTTTTTGGGTCACACCCAGTGATGCTCAGGGGTTACTTTTGGTTCTGCACTCAGGAATTACTCCTGGCAGTGCTTGGGGGACTATATGAGATGCTGGGAATCGAACCCAGGTCAGCCGCGTGCAAGGCACACTACATGCTGTGCTATAGCTCCAGTCCCCCAAATATATTATTAATAAAAATAGGGGAACTATTTCCTATTGTGTTTTTCTTCTTACTTATCCCTTTCAGAAACAGAAACGAAACTATTCTGGAATATTTTTCAGGAAAAATTCTGAAGGAGAAATTTCTTGGAGTTGAATAGACTTTCCTAATTAAACTAGTTCATATGTTTAGTATACTTTTTCATACTTCATTCATATCTTTAATAATTTGCAAATATTTAAGACACTGCCTATTAGATAGAGTGTTAATATCAGGCTATAGCGCATCAACTACATGCAGTATTTGGGGAGAATTCACTAAATTTTTTTCTTAGTATCCTATTTATTAGGAAAAAATTAAATGCTATGTGTAATAAACTGTCTCGAATGAAAGTAGCACTTGTTATGTGAAAGACTTTACTGTACTAAGAATTTTGATGAATTTCGATGGACAAATGTGAAAAGACTTTTAGAAGTGAAACTAAAAGAAGCTACATTTTTCTTTAAAAAAATAAAAAGAATATTTTTGTTTCTGTTTCTGAAAAGGAGAAGTAAGAAGAAAGACACAATAGGAAGTAGTTCCCCTAAAGACAAAGAGTGAGGAGGGTGTAAAACTCCTATTTATTTAGCGGTTGGAATCCTTTTTTTTTGTTTTGTTTTAGGGGGCCATATCTAGCAGTACTCAGGGCTCTGTGCTCAGAGATCACTCATAGAGGGCTAGTGAGGAAATGTAGGATGTCATGTATTGAACCTGATCAGCTGCCTGCAAAGCAAGTGTCTTACCAGCAGGAACTATTTCTCTGGCCCATGTAAAAACCTTAAAAATAAACAAAGATGTCAAAGGCTTAGCTGTATGTGCTCAGCAATGGAACCTGCTCAAGTCTTATGGAGATTACAATGCACTGTTTATATAGAGAGTAGATGACAGGAGTTGTTGGAAAGAATTGGGGAAGAAACTATTGCTTTGGTCCAATTTGATCCAGAACCAAAAGAACTCAAGCAGGGTACAAAGTAAATCTGTTCACTGCAAAAACTGAAGTTGAAATGTGGTATTATATTTGACCAAAAGAATGTTTAGCTATCTGTGAATTTGCAGAAATCTTTGGGAAACTTTTGGATCCCATGGAATTTGAGGATCACCTAAAATTTATTGTTTTAGTATTTAACAAACCACTATTTATCTCTTTTTTTTTTACTTCTATATCAGTAAGGTCTCCCACCTGTACTCTTCTTGAAGGGTCCCTCTCATCCATCTCTGAAACCATTGTATCTGAGTATTCAATATATTTTTATTATTAAGGCACCATAATTTATAAAGTTATTCATAGCTGAGTTCCAGCAGCAACACTATCACTGGTGTCAATATCCCTCCACCAGTGTCCTGATATTTCCTCTAATCCCCAAATCTGCCTCCTTAATACAAACATTTTTTAAGTTTTGTTATTGTAGTTTAGATACCATACTTTCAGTATTGTCGGTCTGTGGTTCAGATATTCATCCTTTAAATTCCAGGTCAAATGTCAATTCTTCAATAAAAACTCTCCAGATGTTCCCAATTACAATTCATCTTTCTTCTAAATATCCATAAAACATGGTTTATGTGTCTTTTATTAATTTTTAATAATTTTAATTGCTTTCTTATGATTCTGAGCACACAGAACTTATCTATTAATAGTTTATTTATTTATTTATTTATTTATTTGCATTTTGGGTCACACCCGGCGATGCTCAGGGGTTACTCCTGGCTCATGCACTCTGGAATTACTCCTGGCGGTGCTCAGGGGACCATATGGGATGCTGGGAATCGAACCTGTGTCAACCATGTTGGCTGTGTGCAAGGCAAACGCCCTTCCCACTGTGCTATCGCTCCAGCTCCCAATAGTTTATTTTTAAAGGAAAAAAAATGACATTTTATCTGCTACTATTTATTATGGTTACTCCCACATTTTATGTGTTCATTGATTTTTATTTTTGTGTTATGGGCCACACACCCGACATGCTCAGGGCTTTCTCCTGAATCTGTGCTAATGCATCACTCCTGGCAGGCTCAGGGGATCAGATGGGGTGCTGGGAATGGAAATCAGATTAGCTGTGTGCAAGGCAAACACCCTGCCCTCTGTACTATCATGCCAGCCCCACTCATTGATTTCTTAGTATACAGATGCATATGTATAAAGGAACCATAGTATTAAATACTCTATCTTAAAGCTTGTTAATATCAGGGTTTTTTTTGTTATTATTCAAAAGTTGTTCTACAACTCTATTTCCGAATTGTGTATTCACTATCAGTGATTCTGAACTATCTTGGAAATGTTCACTGGAAAGAAAGAATACCTAAAGAAATTCAGAGATTTTTGCAAGCCATCATTATTATCAACAAGGATTACACTTATGCACATATGTGTGCATTACATGTGTGCATATGTGTGGCAAGATCATAACTGAAATATTGCAATGAACTTAAGACAAAAACAAAATGTTATCTCATATCCAAAAGGACAGAGGTAAAACTGAAAATCAGATATATTCTTTGGTATAAACATATGAACCAACTTGCAGAATTACATTTATTTCACTGCGACTGATCTCCAGAAGGAGCAAGAGGAAACACTCCATATGAACTTAAACTTTATTTGTTTAAAACGTTTTTATCAAAATATTCTATGATAGTTTAAAAGAAGGCGATGTTAAAATTCTTCCGTATGTATTTTATTTTGGGTTTAAATAAAGGATAGTAGTTTAAGATCCCAGAAACTTTTTATTTTTCTGCATGAGTAAGAAGTAAATATTCATATCTAGTTAATATTCAACAGGAAGGAAATAGAAGAGCCTCACCTGCTTTGGCAAAACCTGTTCCATCAAAATATGTTCCTTTCTGAGCATTTGCAAAACATGTCCCCACATTGAAGCTGGAGGTTGGCTGTTCAAGATCAGCAGGGGCCTCCGCCATCTGAAGGTTCCTGATGCAGCCATCGATACTGTAGGTCACCTAAATGTTCAGGTCACAAGCAATGAGTATCATGCCTAATAAAATTCTGCTTTTATGTGGAAGGCAATTATCGGTGGGGTGCTCTATCCAGGAAGTCATTGGTCTGTTTGTTATCTTAGGAAAGTAGTTTCCAAAGGTTGGTATTTGGACTGGTGGAAATGTTCAAGCATAACTTATTTTTTTTCTTTTTGTGATGTACAGGGGTTACTCCTGGCTCACGCACTCAGGAATTACTCCTGTTGGTGCTCAGGGGACCATATGAGATGCTGGTAATTGAATCTGAGTTGGCCACATGCAAGGCAAACACCCTACCTATTGTGCTATCACTCCAGCCCCAAGCATAAAATTCTTAAAAATGACTTTTCTATGTAACGGTTATTAAGTGCTTGCCACAGACAATTGCTGGAACCAGTTGCCAGTTCTTGGGTATAAAAAGATTGGAAAACACTGTTCTGTGGTATCCGCCAGAGCTGCCTGGTTCTGCAGATCACTCTAGTCTTGACAGCATGGGTGCAGAGTTCTGTGTTATGAGGATCTCTTCATCCTCGAATAAGGCACATTCTAAACAGTGTATGTCTAAGTGGACCATAGATTTGACAGAGTTGTGGGTCCCGAAAGTATCATAGCAATCAGTGCTTTATGTTCCAGATTTCAAGTTTACTGATAATAATTTATTAACGTTATCCCCCCCTACACATTTGTCTTAATTTGTTATTTTATCTATTTTGAATGAATGAGGTTCAGTTAGCTATTTCTTTTGAAAGTATAATGAAGTAGACCTGTAAGAAAATGCACATACATATAAAACTTGAAAATTTGCATCAAGTATTCAGAGTTCAGAGACTATAGAAAGAAATTAAATCACATTCTTCTCTGTGATATTTCACTTGGTAACTCAAGTTAATCATTCTTTTCCAGTCTCACTTCAGCACCTAATGTTGCTGACTAAAGCAGTATGAAGCAGTATAGTTATGAGGGAAAAGCAAATTGACTGCCCACAAAAGAGGCCAAATGCTGAGAATTAGAAACATAATAGATGAATGACTTTGAAGAAGAACAAATATACATTGTCATGTGTTCTAATCTGAGTATATAGTTGTATCATATTTGTATTCAATATATTCTGTGAAAACATCAATCTCAAAACAATGCTTTCCAAAGCAAGCAGGATTTATGATCTTATAAAACATTTATTTTGTCACTATTGATTTACAAAATTGTAAGGACTTTAAATTCTTAATCTAATACTGGATACTGAATCTTGAATACTTAAGAAAACTCGAGACCTACAACAGTGCAATTATTATTACCACTTTCCTTCATTGTCCAATGCTATCTATATGCTTGACACTCTTTTAAGTATTTTACATATAACCTCATTTAATCTTTATAGCAACCTTTTAATATTTGGCATTACTATTCTTATCCCGTTTTAAAAAAGAAAAGTTTGTCAAAAAAAGACTAAGTAATTTATGAAATACTAGATAGTCAGTGAATCAGGTATTTCAATCTAGCAGATCTGACTTCAGGGATTACACTCTGTTTGGGGATATTATTTCCTATTTTCAAATATACCTAGAATATTTCCTGTCCATTCTCCAAAGAATGATTTCTTAATTACCTATAGATGGTCATGAGTCAATGTAACTTAATTCTAAATGCTTTTATGATCCAGGCATCTACTGTGGCCCAAAAGAAAAAAATCAGACACTTACTGGACCAATTCTTCGGGTGGTATAGTTGATGGGTAACCCACCAACATACAACATTCCAACAACATCCAGGATATCAGCTTTCTTGGGACTGATGGTTCGGTTGGAAGCATCGTCTACATAGAGAATTCCTTCCTGCTTAACTCTTGTAATCTTAATCTACAAAAAGAAAAAGGATGTATAATACCAGTCATAGGGAACTTTGAAATATAAGAAAGGCATAAGAAAGGTATAAGAAAGGCATAAGTGCTTTTTCAAGGTCAGGGATAGCATTAAGGGTTGGAGTATATGCTTTGCATCCTAGAGACCTGGGTTCAATCCCTGGAACCACATGTTTCCCTGAACACTAAGCCAGAAGCAGCCCTTGAGCACCGCCCCAAACTGAATCAAACGAACTAATAAGGCTTTCATGGAAAAGCAGAATAACTCAATGAGTCCCCGCTATGAACTAAGTCTATAACATGAATAAAATTACACCTATTTTACAGAATATTTCAAACTTTTTTTTTATTACTGCCACCCACAAAATCTTCCTGGGTGAGTTTTCTTGAATGAAGGTATTTCTCTAGGATGCTAAGTGCACATAGAAGACAGGCTTACTGTAAGGAACCTTGCAGACTGAGAGCAATGGCATGAATTAAATGGGCTGCAAAAATTCATGTCAGGTTTTAAAAATGCATCAATTTGGTTGAGCAAAGTCTCATCTCCCCAACACAATTTCAGATATGCTCCATCTTTCTGCCTATCAGGTCCTTCTGCAAAATTGCAGAAAGGACAGCTCATCCAGGCAGCATTGCCATTTCCACAGGAGCTGATTAGAAAAAAAGTCAAGGAGGAAGATGGAAAGCTGACTGCAGCTGAAATTACAGCAGTGGACTAAATTACCTTCTGGGACAAAGTGAAAGAAGAGGTGCCGAGACAGGCTTGAACAAGAAAACCTTGTGTCTCGGTTGAAGAGAAGGTGCATGTAATGTGTGACCCTGTGAAATACTGGAGCCCAGTGATGGTTTGAAATGTATCTACATCAGGATTAGAAAAATTTCAGACTTCATTTTATGTTGAAAGTAAGCTTTAACAAAGCTTCAAATTAAGACCAGAGAGATAGCTCACTGGGATGAGCACATACATTGTATATTGGAGGTCTGGGTTTGATTCCTGACACCACTCAATCCCCAGAGCACTGTCAAGATTGGCCCCCGAGTACAAGGATGTCAGTAATGCTGGCTTCCAACCCAAAAGAGCAAATATATGAACGATAATTTATTTATTTATCACATTAAATTTTTCTTGCTGAATCCTACTCCACTGGGAATAACACTGTCTTTGTCTCAGCTCCATGTCTATTATTCTATTAAAGATGTGAGCCAATCTCAATGAGACACCTTCATGAAACTTGGTATTTTTTTTATAAAATCCTAAGAAAATGTATGGATTCCATTTATTATTTTCAAGATAACAAAGTAGTTGATTTCGTGTTTTCCACTATTTTTCAGTTACTTTGACTTCCTATGCCAAATATGACAAGATAAAGACATGTATATCAATATCTACAATTCAAAACTTAATAAAACACAACTTAGTAATTAAACACTGTATGGGTTGTATCTAGGGAACTTTTATTTAATAGGCTATCACAAGTAGAGAGACAAATTCTGAGTTTTTATTTTAATCAGGCAGTTTATTATCTGTTTGCAGTTATGCCAAAGATGACAGTAAGCTGGTAAATGCCTTCTGTGCCCATAATAGTATCAGCTTCTGGGTGTAAGGCCAATGTTTAAAAATTGTTCCAAACTGCTGTGGGTGGAAATGAGACCCTAGAGCCATTCAACACTTTTGATTTGCATAAATTGGCAAGGGATGGAATAGATTGTGTACAGGATAAATCTTAGATCCTAGTGGTGTCTGTTTTTTAATCTGTGAAAAAGAAATTCACAAGAGAAAAGATGTTTTTTAGCTCCTTAAAAGAAAATATAACCTCAGAAATAATATAGTTCCTTTAAATCGAATACATAGAGCTTGATTATGAACAACCTGTCTTAACCCATGATTTGCACTTCAAGCATTGAAAATGTCTTCCATTTTCTGACCCTGATTTGTGGACAGATGTTCAGGAGCCACAGCTGTTTAAAAATGACAGAATCTTGTGGTAGCACAATGAAGCATGTTCATGGTCAAATATAAATCTACCCTTGGCCCACATGGGCAGTTGCTTATGGCACTTGCTATATTTTGAACTTTAGTCACATTCCAGTAGGACTTGAGTGAGCCTCTGCACAGGGGAAATAGAATTGGCATCAGGGGAAAATCTATGACTGCCACCCACAGCCCTCTCAGAGGGCTGCCTATAGCCAAGGGACTATTACCTTGTGCCACTGGCCATCATTGATTTTGGTGGGAATAAGAGTGTTAGTGTCACCACTTCCCAAGTCATAACTGAAGTAGGGTAATCCATTTCTCAGCTGAACTGTAGCAAAATCAGCATGATTGATCCGAGCCATGTAAAACAGCAAGCCTGATTCAGCTTCGGTTCGCACTTCAAACTCAATTGTGAGACTGTGAAATAAAAGCATGCAAGGTGAAACAGAAGAAAAATCTCATTCTTTGAGAGAGTGACATCTGATCACGGATGTCTTTTTATAAAGCACACACGCAGCTCTGAGAGAAGGACATTGCTGGTCTACTGATTCCCTAAACTTCATTTCTCAGGCACAGTCAAATAGAACTACTCCGGATTGCAATCTATCAATGTAAAGAAAAAAAGCTCACCTCATTAGTTAATAAATGTAATTGATTAGACTCAAATGAGTTGCAAAATATGTAGCACTTCCATCGATCAGCTCCTTGTATGATCTTGTGAAAATACGTACCGGTTTTTCACTTTGGTGTCGTCGAAGGCAATTGCAATGTGGCTGTTTTTCGAAAGGCCGAACTGCTTGCTCCCGATCAAAAGTGCTGGTTCTGATTCTGCAGCACATGGGCCCTAGAGCACAGAGAGAAAAAGGGGAGACCCCGTGGAATTCAGTCTTTAGAAGTGAAATGCGACCATCTGTTATTAGATTAGCTTAATATTCTTTCTTTTTTTTCCTCTCCAGTGTTTTACTTGCTTTTATTTACTGATTTGATTGCAATTCTTAGCAATTTAAAATCTTGGACTTTTTTTTCCAGGTAAAAGGTAAAGGTAAAGGCCCTCCCGTTGATCATCGATTTGCTCGAGCGGGCCCAGTAACGTCTCCATTGGAGACTTTGTTGTTACTGTGTCTGGCATATCGAATACGTCACGGGGAGCTTGCCAGGCTCTGCTGTGCGGGTGAGATACTCTCGGAAGCTTGCCGGGCTCTCCGAGAGGGGTGGAGGAATCGAACTCGGGTATGCCATGTTGGCTGCGTGCAAGGCAAACGCCCTACCGCTGTGATTTTTAATTTTTTTTATTTTAATAAATCATTGTAAGATAGTTACAGACTTACAAATTTTCGTGATTACATTTCAATCAAACAATGTTCGAGTACCCATCCCTCCACCAGTACCCATCCCTCCACCAGTACCCATTCTTCAACATCAATGTTCCCAGTGTTCCTCCTGCCATCCCGACCCCTTCCCACTCCCTGCCTCTGTGGCAGACACATTCCCTTTTGCTCTCTCTCTCCTTTTGGGTGTTCTGGTTTGCAACATAGGCACTAAGCAGCCATCATGTTTGGTCCATAGCCTACTTTCAGCACGCTAGATTAGCTTAATATTCTTGTAAAAATTTTGTTAAGAAGAAAAACTAGAGCCTGAGGATGTAGAGGGGTAGAGCACACACTTAGCATGTGTGAGTCTCTGAATTCCATCTCCCATACTACATATTCCTTCCAGCATGGCAGAACACAGGCCTTGTCACCCCCAAGCACATGGTGGTTTTTAAGCACTGTTGAGTGGAGAACAACTATCATCATCAGGCCTTAATGACTGGATATAGCTCCTGTGTGTGGGAGGTGAGGGGGGCGGTGAGGGGAGTTAAGAAAAAAAAAAACAGGGTCTGGAGCAATTGTACAGCAGGTAGACTGTTTGTTAGCCTTGCACCTGGTGAACCCAGCATCCCATACCACCAACCAGGAGTAGTTCCTGAGTAGAGAGCCAGAAGGAAGTCCTGCACAGTGCTGGCTGTGGCCCCCAAACCAAAAAGCAAAGTAAAAAAAGAACAAAGGAAAATGTATCTTTTTCCACCTCTTGTATGTGGCTGCATAGTAGTACATAGTATTTTATGTATGTTACAACATAGTAGTACATGCTATAGTATTATATTATACTATGTAGTATTGTATTGTATGCTACTACATAGTATTCAGTATCCAGGACTATGAGTGAGTTAGTGAAATAGCACACTCCAATTTTCAAATGAACATGCTTCACAGTTATTGATTAATTTGTGTTTTTATTATCCTCTAAGGAAAACATTGTCTCTATTTCTGAGAAAACTGGAATTTCCTGTTCAGTTTTACTGTATTAGGAGTTTTTTTCCTTAGAAGATTGAACAGAAAAAAATGACAAGCTATCTATGGGAGTTATAAGAGGAGAAAAATGTGTTTCTTCTTACCCTCTTGGTTTCTATCTCCCACTATATTACTTTTTCTTGAAAATTATTGGTCTAGTAGAAGGCTTCCATGAATTTAGACTTTCAAGATGGTATATCTAAACTTGCGAGTCAGCCCATTCAGGCCCTTAGCCAGTTGCTAGGCAACCCAGCACATTACAAAAAATGTTATCCACCATAGGCCATTTCAACTGACACTGTTCAAAGATCAACATCCCAGGGTGCTTCTGAGGGAGAGCTAGGTGCAGGCTTGGTTTCAGAACCATTACCTGTGCTGTCACTTGGTTTAATGCTCTGCTGTCACTATCCTGGAATGCTTAATATATATTTTTTTATATTTTTGGGTCACGCTTTCTGGTACTTAGGGGTTACTCCTGGCTCTGAACTCAGAGATCACATCTGGTGGGGCTTAGGGGACCATACAGGGGATTGAACCTGAGTCAGCCATGTGCAAGTTAAAAGCTCTCTCTGCTCTATTACTCAGGCCCTAACATGCTTAATATTTTTTTCCCCAGATTTTATTTTATTAAGGCACCATGAGTTACAAAAATGCTTAATGCTTTTTGAATGAGTATTTTCATTTTGTTCTGGGTCCTGCAAATTGAAGAGCTAGGCTTGGCCACGTGGACCCTATTTGGCTACTGTAACCCTTTTCTCAATAGATAATCAAGGCTCATCAAATCACTAAAAGCCACTATTTCTTTCCCTGTTTTCTATTTTCACAAATAGCTCAATGTTCAGCTGCTTAGAAAGACTTTCAGAACAGACAGTACACGAGAAAATAAATAACCTGCACACTCTCAACAATACATCTGTTTTTTACAAACTGCACTTAATAGTTCTGAATGGGCCACTGGCCCAGTGAGGCCTTGACTCAGCGGAGTTTTTCAAACTGCCCTGGGCAGGCTTTTGATGCAGAATGTTCCTCCCAAATAGTGTACCTCAGAGATGACTCATCAGTACACAGGAAATTTTTATTTGATGAGGAAAAGCCATGCTTTCTTTTCTCTTGAGCTTAGCCAAATGGAACACTCTGCCACAGCAGGTAAAAGGCTTTAAGTGTTTTTGAAATGCTATAAAATTGGTCTTCATGGAAGTATTTCCCTTCCTGCTTCCCAGGAGATGGTCAGTTACAAAAAGCAGACTGAGGCTGAAATTCACAGAGATATGCAAAAACTCAGTGGGGAAAACAGGAAAACGCTATTTATTGGCACAGTTGAATGGTTTCTCTTGAAATCAATGTGTGGCACATTTTTTTTTGTTTTTGCCTCAAAAAAAAAAAAAAAGACCAAATGCAAAGGCTCAGTAGCTTAATGTCATAGTCTTCAAAGTAGCTATTGATAGAGTTCTGATCATTTATCGACCTCTTGCAATATATCCTATGTCAAAGATTATCACAACAATCATAAATGATCTGCATTATGCCTCCAAAATATCTATGAAAATCCTCTGTGTTGTGAGTCCATCAGGCGTAGAATTTGGCAAACACTTTCCTAAACCCCCCTGCGCTGAAAATTGAGAGATAGAAAGGTGAATTGATGTTTTTGAGGGGAACAATAATGTGTGTAGACTAAAAGAAAAATCACCAGTATGTTCTTTCCTTGTTACTGTTAGTAATGTCACACATTAAGTTACTACATAGAAATGTTAACATACGAGAACTTTTCTAAGGCAATTTTTTATACAGCTTAGGAAGCTATTGTAAAAATTAGTACATTATTTAAGCATCAGTTTGCTGCAGACAGCTTTGTTTTTTTTCTACATTATTGGTGTGTCCCAAACACCATGATCATACTGCTGGTAGACTGGACAGATCCGCATTTCTAGCATTATTCCTGAACTGAACAGCCAAGTTTCTGTCACTAGCTATAGATGATTTCAATTAGAAAGAACCTGTAAATCTTTAGCCAGAATGGGGCATGAATTGTGTACAAGCACTGTCTGTAGCACTGTCCTCCCATTGTTCATCGATTTGCTCGAGCGGGCACTGAGAGTATCCCGCCCGCATGGCAGAGCCTGGCAAGCTCCCTGTGGTGTAATCAATATGCCAAAAACAGTAACAAGTCTCATAATGGAGACGTTCATTACTGGTGCCCGCTCGAGATGTATCATAGCCACCTGGAAATTAGGAAGTAGGATGCCCCCTGGAGGCATGCCTGATACAACCTGCCGACAGGTATATGTGAGAGGATAGGCAAGAGCAAACTAAGCAATATCCTAAGACTGGATAATGTTAAAAGGAAACGATAAAAAATAGGTTACACTCTACTAGGTAACATCAAATATACAGCTGTTCTGCTAAGTTTCTTATAAACACCCAAAGTGACATGGGTGTGGTGCTGGAATTATGTGCATGAAGAACCATTATTAATAGTATTATAAACTGTAGAGTGATAATTAAAATATGCTAAAAAATAAAATGAAAAATAATAAAAATATAATAAAAACACCCGGAATGGTATTTACTATCACGAATGTGTCATAAGATGTAAGTATTGCTTTAATAAAACTTGCTATCATTTTCCTTTATGAAACAGGTAGCTAAAAATGGACTGAGAAAAGCCAGTGTAAGTGGGTTTCTGTATGTATATTGACTAAGATGTAAATCATAAGACAATTTCCAAACTAATCTGATAATGTGTTTGATCTCACCTCCTGCATGTCAAGTAAGAAGGGATTGGAATGCTTCGCAATTACTTTGCCTTAAGTAAAACCCGCCTGATTGAACCTTGGTCCTGTACAGGAAGACCCTGTTCTTAGCCATTAGCCTACTGGGATTCAATTCTCTTCCTTTTTCCTCACAGCTCCTTACACTGTTCATCAGGCATTTTTTTTTCTCAGACGTTTTAGAGAGAAATGAACATAGTGGTTTGTACACCAATAAAATGCTCTTGCCATTAACACCATTTTCTTTCATGCTTACCATAGAAATCAACTAAGACAGAGGTGTGAGTCTTTAATGAAGTAATTTTAAGGATGCTTTACAAAAATGATCTTGGCTCACATCCACCCAGGAAATGTGAGCTTGAGGGAGGCCATTGTTTTTATGGACGTGGTACTTTACCTGGGCTATTTTGGAAACACTGATCTCTGATACGTGTTGGAACAATAAGGAGAAAAACGAAAATCTCAGTACGCGCTCATCAATCTCAACATGTTACAATTCTGCCACCTTGTGGGGACTCGTTAAAGTGCTACCAGTGCATACGGGAAATGTGTTATAAATAAGGCGGCCTTGAAGTTCTCGCTTCTTATTTGCGCTTGGCTGGTGACTAAGTCGTGGGCGATGGGACCTGAGTGGGTAGTCTGCGTGTGGCAGAATACCTGTTGAATGCCAGAGATGCCGATGGAGAAATTTCATAAGGAAACTTGGCATTCCAAAGCCGGGTTTTAGCTTGTGGATAATGAGC